CAGTCAGGCAGTCAGGCAGTCAGGCACTCAGGCAGTCAGGCAGTCAGGCAGGCAGTCAGTCTGTCAGTCAGTCAGTCTGTCAGTCTGTCAGTCTGTCAGTCTGTCAGTCTGTCAGTCTGTCAGTCTGTCAGTCTGTCAGTCTGTCAGTCTGTCAGTCTGTCAGTCTGTCAGTCTGTCAGTCTGTCAGTCTGTCAGTCTGTCAGTCTGTCAGTCTGTCAGTCTGTCAGTCTGTCAGTCTGTCAGTCTGTCAGTCTGTCAGTCTGTCAGTCTGTCAGTCTGTCAGTCTGTCAGTCTGTCAGTCTGTCAGTCTGTCAGTCTGTCAGTCTGTCAGTCTGTCAGTCTGTCAGTCTGTCAGTCTGTCAGTCTGTCAGTCTGTCAGTCTGTCAGTCTGTCAGTCTGTCAGTCTGTCAGTCTGTCAGTCTGTCAGTCTGTCAGTCTGTCAGTCTGTCAGTCTGTCAGTCTGTCAGTCTGTCAGTCTGTCAGTCTGTCAGTCTGTCAGTCTGTCAGTCTGTCAGTCTGTCAGTCTGTCAGTCTGTCAGTCTGTCAGTCTGTCAGTCTGTCAGTCTGTCAGTCTGTCAGTCTGTCAGTCTGTCAGTCTGTCAGTCTGTCAGTCTGTCAGTCTGTCAGTCTGTCAGTCTGTCAGTCTGTCAGTCTGTCAGTCTGTCAGTCTGTCAGTCTGTCAGTCTGTCAGTCTGTCAGTCTGTCAGTCTGTCAGTCTGTCAGTCTGTCAGTCTGTCAGTCTGTCAGTCTGTCAGTCTGTCAGTCTGTCAGTCTGTCAGTCTGTCAGTCTGTCAGTCTGTCAGTCTGTCAGTCTGTCAGTCTGTCAGTCTGTCAGTCTGTCAGTCTGTCAGTCTGTCAGTCTGTCAGTCTGTCAGTCTGTCAGTCTGTCAGTCTGTCAGTCTGTCAGTCTGTCAGTCTGTCAGTCTGTCAGTCTGTCAGTCTGTCAGTCTGTCAGTCTGTCAGTCTGTCAGTCTGTCAGTCTGTCAGTCTGTCAGTCTGTCAGTCTGTCAGTCTGTCAGTCTGTCAGTCTGTCAGTCTGTCAGTCTGTCAGTCTGTCAGTCTGTCAGTCTGTCAGTCTGTCAGTCTGTCAGTCTGTCAGTCTGTCAGTCTGTCAGTCTGTCAGTCTGTCAGTCTGTCAGTCTGTCAGTCAGGCAGTCAGTCAGGCAGTCTGTCAGTCAGGCAGTCAGGCAGGCAGTCTGTCAGTCTGTCAGTCAGGCAGTCAGTCTGTCAGTCAGTCAGTCAGGCAGTCAGTCAGGCAGTCTGTCAGTCAGGCAGTCAGGCAGGCAGTCTGTCAGTCTGTCAGTCAGGCAGTCAGTCTGTCAGTCAGTCAGTCAGGCAGTCAGTCAGGCAGTCTGTCAGTCAGGCAGTCAGGCAGGCAGTCTGTCAGTCTGTCAGTCAGGCAGTCAGTCTGTCAGTCAGTCAGTCAGGCAGTCAGTCAGGCAGTCTGTCAGTCAGGCAGTCAGGCAGGCAGTCTGTCAGTCTGTCAGTCAGGCAGTCAGTCTGTCAGTCAGTCAGTCAGGCAGTCAGTCAGGCAGTCTGTCAGTCAGGCAGTCAGGCAGGCAGTCTGTCAGTCTGTCAGTCAGGCAGTCAGTCTGTCAGTCAGTCAGTCAGGCAGTCAGTCAGGCAGTCTGTCAGTCAGGCAGTCAGGCAGGCAGTCTGTCAGTCTGTCAGTCAGGCAGTCAGTCTGTCAGTCAGTCAGTCAGGCAGTCAGTCAGGCAGTCTGTCAGTCAGGCAGTCAGGCAGGCAGTCTGTCAGTCTGTCAGTCAGTCAGTCAGTCTGTCAGTCTGTCAGGAGTGATTTCCCAGCTCCCCTGGGCTGCTTTGGAGCTCAGTCCCAAGGCTGTGCTCTCCATTCCGTCCCCAGCTCAGCACAGAGCTGTTTGTTTCCAAACCCCACCCGTTTTCAGGCTGATTTCACACGGGATTTGTGCTCACGCTCCCTCAGCACTGCGTGGGCTGCTCCAGGATAAAAGCGGGGACCTTGCCCCGTGCTCCCCTTTATGCAATCCCAAAATAATTCCGAGTGGAAGGGCAGGAGGCTGCTGTGAGCAACCATCACTTCCAAACACAGAGGAACCTGCTCCTCCATCTGCACCGGGAAGGAGCTGGAAGCCAAGCCACTCCAGCATTTACAAACACCAACAAACGTCAGGCGTCTTGCAAAGTTTTGTTTAAGCTTCTGTCATTCCCGTATTTCTTCAAATGCAGCTTTTTTTTTATCCCCCCTTTTTTCTCCTGCCACAGCACAGAAATAACAACTCTGCTCGTGGCATTGCAAGGGATTTTGAACAGAAAGCAGCACAAACTGATTAAACTGATTTTAGCTGCAATTAAACACTTCCCATTTCCCCTGACAACACCTCACAGTGCAGGACACAAACTACGCTGTCCTACTCCAGTTTACTCTGTCCCACTCCAGTTTACTCTGTCCCACTCCAGTTTACTGTGTCCCACTCCAGTTTACTGTGTCCCACTCCAGTTTACTGTGTCCCACTCCAGTTTACTCTGTCCCACTCCAGTTTACTCTGTCCCACTCCAGTTTACTCTGTCCCACTCCAGTTTACTCTGTCCCACTCCAGTTTACTCTGTCCCACTCCAGTTTACTCTGTCCCCTCCAGTTTACTCTTCCCCCTCCAGTTTACTCTGCCCCACTCCAGTTTACTCTGTCCCACTCCAGTTTACTCTGTCCCCTTCCAGTTTACTCTGTCCCACTCCAGTTTACTCTGTCCCACTCCAGTTTACTCTGTCCCCTCCAGTTTACTGTGTCCCACTCCAGTTTACTCTGTCCCCTCCAGTTTACTCTGTCCCACTCCAGTTTACTCTGTCCACTCCAGTTTACTCTTCCCACTCGTTTACTCTGTCCACTCCAGTTTACTCTGTCCCACTCCAGTTTACTCTGTCCCACTCCAGTTTACTCTGTCCCACTCCAGTTTACTCTGTCCTACTCCAGTTTACTCTGTCCCACTCCAGTTTACTCTTCCCACTCCAGTTTACTCTTCCCACTCCAGTTTACTCTGTCCCACTCCAGTTTACTCTTCCCACTCCAGTTTATTCTTTCCCCAGCAGAAGCACCAAGTTTCCAACTGCAAGTTCTGTACCCTCAGCAGAAACAAGCAGAAGAGAGTTGTTCACCTCACAGGGAGATTCCAGATCTATTTACAGATATCAGGGAAACCCAAAAGCCAACATGAACAGATGCTAAAGGGGGGCTTTGTTCTGTCAAGCACTGCTCCAACCATCACAGAGCTTAGCAAGCAGCAATCAGCTGCACTGAATTATGCAACAGGCTGCCACACAATGAATTTTTCCTCGGGGAAAGTTGTCAGTTGCAATGGATAAAAAAGAAAAGGTATTTTAAGTGACTCTCATGCAGTTCTGCAGGTTGGAAATTTAAAAAGAAGGAGCAGAGGTTCAGAATGAGAGTCGTTTATTCATTCCCTGGTTTTTATTAAAATTGACCCTATCCAGTATGAAAATAATCCTGCTAAGCCCTCTTACAAAGGACTTACGAGTTAGGCCAATATTCAATTTAGCAGAGCAGGGAGGAGGGGAGGATTTACCCATCATCAACAAAAGCAATTCTTCAGCAGCCAGGGCACAGAGATCCCACTGAGATGGGATTATGAATTAGACAAATTAAGAAAACTGATCCCCCTCAGACAAGGCAAATATTAAGACAAAAGCAGCCATGTGTGGAGGTCTGTGTTTGTCTGCAGCAACAGGTAGGGCAGGCAGAGCAGCTATTGATGGGTGTTTGCAGGTCCTGCTCTACAAAGCTGTCAGTCTCCATCCCTGGTCCTCCTGTTCCCATCTCCATCCTGCTCCCATCTCCTGCCCCACTGTTCTCATCTCCATCCTGCCCCACTGCTCCCATCTCCATCCCTGGTCCTCCTGTTCCCATCTCCTGCCCCACTGCTCCCATCCCTGCCCCACTGCTCCCATCTCCTGCCCCACTGCTCCCATCTCCATCCTGCCCCACTGCTCCCATCTCCATCTCCATCCCCACTGTTCCCATCTCCATCCCTGGTCCTCCTGCTCCCATCCCTGCCCCACTGTTCCCATCTCCAGCCCCACTGTTCCCATCCC